CCACCAATCCAATCTCTGTCTCTTTGTGATTGTTTGTTGTTGTTTTTATCTTCTACTTATGAGTGAGATCATACAGTATTTGACTTCTCCCTCTGACTTATTTTACTTAGCATAATACCCTCAAGGTCCGTCCATGTTGTCACAAATGGCCAAGATTTCATTGTTTCTTATGGCTGAGTAGCATTCCATTGTGTGTATGTACCACATCTTTATCCATTCATCCCTTGATGGGCACCTAGGTTGCTTCCAAGTCTTGACTATTGTGAATAATACTGCGAAGAACATAGGGGTGCATGTATCTTTATGCATTCGTGTTTTCGTGTTCTTTGGGTAAATACCCAGCAGTGGAATAGCTGGATCCTATGGTAGTTCTGTTCTTAATTTTCTGAGGAGTCTCCATACTGTTTCCCATAGTGGCTGCACCAGTTTGCACTCCCACCAGCAGTGTACGAGGGTTCCCTTCTCTCCACATCCTTTCCAACACTTGTTTCCTGTCTTGTTGATTGTAGCCATTCTGAGGGAGTGAGATGATATCTCATTGTAGTTTTGATTTGCATTTCCCTGATAGTTAATGATACTGAACATCCTTTCATGTGCCTGTTGGCCATCTTGGAGAATCTTTATTCAGATCTTTTGCCCATTTTTCAGTTGGGTTGTTAGTTTTTTTGTTGTTGAGATGGATGAGTTCTTTATATATTTTGGGCATCTTTGAGAGGCCATTATTCTGTCTACCACCGGTAGGTTGGGGCCAGGTTATAGGAGCTTTAAATATAGCCATTGAATATTTTCCATCAAAGGAATAATATGATCAAAGCCGTGTTTTGGGAGGTTTAATCTATAGTCTGTATGCTATCTAGAATATAGGACTGGAAAGAAATCAACAACCCTGAGTTGTCTTTTCAGCTTTACTGTTGATCCTCCGTCCCTTAGTCCTTCTTTCTCTTCTTCCTTTCCCTTCCCTTCCCTCTCCCCTTCCTCCTAGAACAGCTTATATCCATAAATCCTTAGTCAGAGAGAATTAGTTGTCCTGAACACTGCTACAGCCACTGATTCTGATTCTGTTCACTGTAAGGCTATTTCATCATGTTATGAAAGGGATACTAGACTAGCACTCAGGAGACCTGAGATATGTTTCAAACTTTGTCAGTAATTTGCTTTGTAACCTTAAGGATATCCTTTAGTCTCTCTATGATGCAATTCTCCGTCTTTGTAATTGGGATGATAAAAACTGTGCATCTGTCAAAGATATAAAGATAACCTTATTCCAAAATAATGTAGCTTATTTTTATTTTTCGTCTGTAGAGAGTAACTGGCTTGTTAGAAAGTAACTGACTTGTAACTTCAGAACTTTTTGCTTTTCCTTTTTTATCTCAAAGAACCAAGAATCGAGCAAAAACCAACAAAAAATAAAAAGCTCAGTGATGCATGCCTAGTTGACTTGCTACTCTCTTTTCCCTCTACAAGTAGCAATCAGGGCAGTTATGTCACGGCAAATCAGGTAATATTTTATAAACCTCTCCCCTTCTATTATTGCTTTATTAAACATTTCTTGCCCGTAAAAAAGAAAAATATGTATGTGAGTCTTACTATATGAAGGTTTCACATTGACAATATAGCAAGTATTGCCTCACTACGTGTGATTCTTCGAGTAAACATTTCAATTGTCTACAATAGAAATACGATGCAAGCTTCAGATGTGAGCCTTGTGTATAAAATTTTCTTGTAGCCACATTAAAAAACGTAAAAAGAAACGGGTGAAATTAACAATATATTTTCAATCTAATATATTCAAAATATTTCAACATGTAATCAATATAAGAAATTATTAATGAGATATTTTAGATTTTTTTGTATTAAGTCTTTGAAATCTGATGTGTATTTTATAGATAAAACACATCTCAATTTAGAGTAGCCACATTTCAAGTACTCAGTAGCCACTTGTGGGCGATAGCTACTGTGTTGGGCGGTGCACGTCTGCTACAAAGGTATCTACGTAATCATTGCATCAGATCTTTTAGTCTTTCCTTAAAGCAGTCTGCACTGCCGTGTCTAATCTCTCTATGACAGTGGTCCCAACCCCCCACTCTGCTTTACCATCTTGCTCTGGTCCTCACTTCATACTGTATTGTCCTCTCTTAGACATTTCTCCCTTCTGTGCCACATATTCCTGTCTCCTTTACTCTGTCAAGGCCCCCGTGCATGTTTTTTGAGATTTGCAGGAGAAAAAGCACCTTTAACAGTTTCCTACCTACCACTATACTTCCATTAAAGTGTTACAGTGGAAATTAGAAATGTAAGCTTATCCCAACAATATCGATACCCTGGGGAAATGAAATGAAGTTCTTCCTCCTCTTAGGAAAATGTCAGAATCCCTGATAATAGTAGAATCTGAGTGTTACAGGAAAATCTAGTCAGGAGTGTGTAACTTGTAGGCTTTGTATCTATTGTTCCATGAAATGTAGCATAAGAATTGTATGTTTTGCTATTATTAACACTTTGCATTTAATCAGTCTCAAAAGCCAAAATGCTTCATAGTTACCCCACAAATGGAATATAAGTATACAAGTTCAATTTGGCTGACTAGGTTAGAACAAAGGACCATAATCATATTTTCTTGCCAGATCATCCTGCCTGTCTTTTCCTGCCTCTTTGTAATCGGCTCTTAGAATTTATATTTCCAAGGTGTTTTGTAGTCATGTGTTGTTTACCTCTCACAATGCATATTTTAGCCCCAATTTGTAAATGCATGGACATGCAGTGATGTGTTTTGGTTTTTGCAAAGTAACTCAAAAAGTCAATGCCAGGGGGCTGGCCCCGTGGCCGAGTGGTTAAGTTCTCACGCTCCGCTGCAAGGCGGCCCAGTGTTTTGTTGGTTCGAATCCTGGGCGTGGACATGGCACTGCTCATCAAACCACGCTGAGGCAGCGTCCCACATGCCACAACTAGAAGGACCCACAACAAAGAATATACAACTGTGTACTGGGGGACTTTGGGGAGAAAAAGGAAAAAATAAAATCTTTACTAAAAAAAAGTCAATGCCAGAAATCCAAAACTGAAATGAAGAAAACAGTTCCATTTACAATAGTGTAAAAAAATATTTAGGAATAAACTTAAAAGAACTATAAAACTTGTACTCTGAAAAACTACAAAACATTGCTGGAAGAAATTAAAGAAGACCTAAATAAATGGAAAGACATCCCATGTTCATCTCTTTTTAATATTGTTAGGAAACTTGCCAAATTGATTCATATATTCAATGCAATTCCAGCTGCCCCTTTTTTATTTTTTGCAGAAATTGACAATATTCATATGGAAATGTAAGGGATCCAGAATAGCCAAAATGGTTTTGAAAAAGAACATAGGAAGACTTAAACTTCCTGATTTCAAAACCTGTTATAAAACTACAGTAATCAAGACAGTGTGGTACTGGCATAAGGATGGACTTCAAATCATTGCAGACCCGCCTTGTTTCTGGGGCTCTGAGTTGTTCTAAACTGATACTCCAGCCTACTCCAGGCTTTTGTCCACTTGTGTGGTGGCCACGTCTTTCCATCATCTGCTAAAGGCAAAACAGTTTGTGTTCTGTTTCTTTTTGGAAGGACTTGTCATTCTGTGGATTTCAGTCTCCTTGGTTGTCTTGTATTCTCAGCTGTCTGGTGAACTCAAGAAAAGTTTTGATTTTGTGGATCAGCTGGTTTTTTTCATTGTTACTGTGGGAGGAATATTCTCTTCCTGCTTTCTACATCCTAAGCAGAGTGGGAATAACGTGATGCTTGGCCTGTGATAGATTGGGCACTCAGTTAAGATTTGTTTAAAGTGGGTTGAATTCATTGAATACTTAGGTGTCTGGCAGTAAGCTAAGCACTTACTACCTCATCTCATGTAATCCACCCCTGTCTATGAGGTGTAGGTAATATTATTATGCCCACTTTTTTAGATGTAAAACTGAAATTTAGTGGAGAAAAGGAACTAGAGGCATAGCAATAAATGAACATTTTTGTTGATTTTACCTATGTCACCTTCCCCCAACCCTCCTTCCCGAATAAAATTCTTGAATCCATTTTTCACTTCTCCAAGGAAAGGAGATATATCCTTGGCATTGCAAGTTCTCATTTCCTCACATGATGGGAAAAGAGGCTCAGAATAAAAGAGAGAAAGCTTGAAGGGACTTCAAGGTGGACTTTTGATTAACAGAGAGAAGACACTTTTGGGTCTGAGGGCTTTGGGTGGTCAGTGCTAGCATCTAGGTTTTATAACAGGTGAAAAACAAAATGACTGTGATAGCCTTGCTGCCACTTTCCATTCTTCCCTTTCCCTTCTCTTGCTTCTGATGTGAAATAGTTAATAGCCTTCAGTTTTTTCACAGGGTAGCCAAATTTTAAGTATTTTTCATTACTATTAATTCCTTACTAACCTGCTATGTGGGAATTCCTTTAGGTAGTTCTCATGCTAGGGACCTTAAATATAATTACTTGTACCACTTACATTTGTCTTAACAAATTCCTTTATAAGCTACATTCAACAAAAGGTGAACTCACAAAGTGTTTTCATTTCTAAAAATTTTGCTTTGTTTTTGTTCACTTTCAGAAAAGAAACTATGAGATGAGCCTGATCAATAAAATCAAATAAAGCAAATGTTATTAATTCATCTCTTCAGCTATTTTCCGAAATTCATTTTCTAAGATGTACCATTTGTAACTCACTACATTAATCATTCTACGTTTTCTCACACACTGGTTGATAAATGCAAGTTAACTTTCATGCATTGCCTATCTTTGCTGGAATTTCAACATCTTTTCGAGTATTCCACGTGTATAATATAAACTGAGAAAGAGAACTCTGGTCATTATTATATTCATGAACAGCATTAATACAGAGACAATGCTAAAGGTTAAGGAATAGGAACATGGAGACAAGGAGGAGGATTGATTATATATGGTAGAATATTTTATAATGCCCTGGCTTGATGTAACAGTTGCTTATATACCTCCTCTCCCTAGTTATCAGGGAATATGAAGAATAGAGAAAGCATCCAGGAATCTAGATTTGATTATTACAACTATGAAGTTCCTGATATTGACCTCAGTGATTGTGAATTCCCACATGTCATTGAAATTTATGACTTCCCCCAAGAATTTCGTACTGAAGACCTCCTACGGGTTTTCTGCAGTTATCAGTAAGTATTTGCAAATGGTTGGGTGTGTTAGGGAGGGTGGGATGAAGTTTCCTAAAATGTCTTCTGAAAACTCATCTTGTATTTTCATATTCCCCACTGGTTTGCTTTAGCATCAAGTTTGTTTATTGCCTTTTCCAAGTGCATTAGAAATCTTCTATATCAAACGACTCTTCTTCTAAGTTCCTTAAAAATGCCAAATAGTCTTTTTAGGCCCCATTTTAGCATTTAAGAAGAATGTCATCAATGATGACTTCCGAATCTGTCTTCATGGTACATTTAGTCTATTTATATTTATTGTAATTATTGATATATTTAGATGTGTGCCTGCCATCTTTTTTGTGTGTGTTTACTTGTCCCATCTTTTTCTCTTCTTCTTGCCTTCTTTTGGATTGATGAGGTATTTTTTTCTCATTCCATTTTTTGGGGAAATGAAACTCTGTGTTCTATTACAAAGTGCATGCTTAACTTATCAATGGCTAAAGTTAATATTTTTTACACTCTTTCTAAACATTATAAGGACTTTTAACTCCATTCCCCAATTCCATTCCCCACCTCTTAGCCCCCCGCAACTAGTATGCTGTTGTGATTATTTTGATTCTTTTTAATTTTTTCTTTTTCCTTTTTAAACTCTGTTTGATGTTGTTATTGTTTTATATATTCAGCATTCAGATTTATCCACTTTCTGTGTACTTGATTTATATCTTCTTGGATCTCATACCTTCCATCTGAAATCTCCTGCATGAAATATATTTATTAGCATTAATTTAGTAACAGTCTGCTGGTAACAAACTCAGTTGGGGTGTTTTTGTTGTTTTTTAATGGCTTTATTTCAACTTCATTCTTGAAAGACATTTTTGCTGGGTATAGAATTCTAGGCTGGCAGTTACTTTTCTTTCAGGAACTTGAAGATACTAGTCTCCTGTCTCCTGGCTTTCTCTGTGGAGGATGAGAAGCCAGCTGAAAGTCTAACAGTTGTCACTTCTGAATGTAATGTCTTTGCTCTTTGGATGCTCTTAAGGTTTTCTCTTTGTCTTTAGTATTGTGTATTTTCAGTATGATGTGGTTTTGTATTTCTTTTTATTTATTCTTCTTGAGATTATTTGGGCTTCTTAAATCAGTGAATTAGTGTTTTTTGTTGGTTTTGGAGAACACTCAGACGTTATCTCTTCAAATATTGCCTCTGTGCCCGTCTTTCTCTCTCTTTTACCTTCTCTGAGATGCCAATTAAATGTATAATAGACCTTCTCACTTAACCCTCATGTTACCTGTCTTTCATGTTTTCCATCTCTTTGTCTCTGTTAGAGTCTGAGTAAATTCTTTAGCTCTAGTTCCCAGTGCACCGATGTTTTTCTTCAGCTGTGTTAAATTTGCTGTTAAATTTGTCCATTGAATTTTTAAATTTCATTTTGTTTTTTCATTTTGCAAAGTTCTCTATTTTTTTTTCAAGTCTGAATGGTCATTTTTTTTAGCTTCTTATTTTCTCCAGATATTTTCACGATTTTAAAAATTTCTTTAAGTATATTAAACATAGACCTTCTGTAGTCTTCTCTGAAGTCCTTTTAGTTCTATTTCTGCAATTTCTCTCTTATAGTGACTTGCTTTTTTGGAGATTTAGTTATCTTTTTACTATGAGCCAACCATTTTCCTTGTAGTTTTCTTTATGGGAATTGAGGCCTACAATAGAAGAAGAGGATTTCTCCTGAGAGGATGTGTGTTTTCTTCTGCCAAGCCCCCAAAAGCCCCAACAGTCCAGGAGCACCTTAAATTGATTTGAAGTTATTCTGACCACTGAGGTAGAAATAGTCCAGTGGAGAATGATAAAAAATGATTGTTATATGTCTCAACTGGTTCATTTTAACAACACATATAAATATTCATTCACTTGCCAGTCTTTGATGTGGTACGAAAGCCACCTTTTTTTTAAAGTTATTGCTCTATTGATGGAAGAGTTCTTGTACTTCACCCTCATAATATATCACCTGTGACTTTCAATTTAATTTCTTTAAAGTGCAGCAAGAACTTTAATGTACCTTCAGAGTCATCTGAGTACATATTCCTCATAGGTTAAAGTGTTTTCTCTTTTATAGCTATTTTTCCTAAATGTAAATTGATTAAAGTTTTTGGGGTTTTTTTAGTGACCTCACCTTTCTCTGGTCTTCCAAAGCATTCAATTAAGTTTTTATAGACACAGCAACTCATCTTTTTCAGCCTCATATTTCATCCTTTAAATTTTATTTAATTAAATCATGTAGTGAAAATATAAGTTAAAACTAATGTAAGTGGGTTTGAGAACAATTGCACTAACCCTTGTTATGTATATAGTTTATACATATATGTAAAAGGTAAAAGAGTCAGAAGTATACTTCTGTATCCTTAACTTGTAAGAAAAAATAAGCTTCAGCAATAAAGAAACAATCTAGAAAAAAAGTTACTGAGAAAAAGGATTTCAAGATCTGAAAGAATTAGTCAATACCAAAAAGGATTATACTTTAATGCTCCAATCCTGATATTAAAAATGATCCAGGTCCATTGTTTGATATTATAGATTTAAATTTAAAAATCAATTCATGTACATCTTGATTTTGTATCAGTTAGGGTATAGCCCCCAACTGTTTTTTAAAGGGCCAGATAGTAAATGTTTTAGGCAACTCTGCCATCATTGCACAAAAGCAGCCATAGACAAGATGTAAACAAAGGAACACGGCTGTATTCAATGAAACTTTATGTACAAAAACAAGCATGCTGTTATTTTATGAAGTTTTAGAACAGGCAATACTAGCTAGCAGCCATATACCTCACTTAAATTTGGTTGGTGGGGAGTATCAGTTCTATAACTAAAAGAAGGAAGGGGTGACTGGATCCTGAAGGACACTTCTCTGCCATAGACCTTACTCTGTGTAGATAGTATAGGTCAGTTAGTCTAAATCATTGCAGTTACGTTAAGACCCAATATCAGGGCCTGTTCTATGTGAAATGCATAATAGATTTTAAAAAGCAGCCAATGAGATTAAATCCCAAAGTAGAACTACCTTAGATTGTTGTTAATAATGATTAAAACCAAGGATCAGTTTTGTTGATGTCTAGAGTTTCCTGAAGATTAGTTAATTCTTATGAATTGTTAACTTCCCTTTGCTTTGTTTCTTCCTATTCTTACCTGTAAGACCATTTTTCTATAAAAACCCCCTAATATTCCCAAAAGAGCATTTTAAAGGATTATGAAGTTCCAAAGTCTAAAAGGCCCTCCATAACCTATCTAGGCCTTTTTCTATCATTTTTGCAAACTATCTTATAATATAGACTTCTCCTATTGAACTTGTCCGCGGTCTCCAACCCCTGTGGTCATTTCATGTCACGGTCAAACTTACCCTTACATTCAGGAAATTCTCTAACTAACGTTCAAAGCCTCCTTTATTCCTTTTCCCTCAAAGCAATTTTTTTTCTTCACTGGTTGTTAAAGAGTGAAGATATTTTAGCAGTTGTCTTTTTTCTTCTTCATAGTGCTTTAATAAAAATAAAGAAAAAGTCAGGGTGCAGAAGCTTATAATAACACCTGTGAGTTAAATACCAGTGTCAGCTTTATGTGCTAATCACTATCTTCATCAGAGTTAATAATTTTCCTGATGAATATTGCTATTAATAAATAATGAGCACCATTCATTTAGTAAATGCCCACTAACTGCTTAACACCATATTCTTTGTCATGGATGATCTCATTTCCGTTTTTCACAACTCTGTTAGGAAGGTACTGTGCCCATTTCTACAGATGAGCAGACTTAGCTTAAAGAGAGGTTAAACCTGCCCAGGATCTCAGGGTGGCAGAACCTGAGTCCATTTATGTCTGATCCTCAAACCTCTGCTCTTTCCACAGAACTGTATTGAGTCTGTGAGCAGTTTTAAGCTCCTAGCTGAAAAAATGACACCTGTCATGGCATCATCCTGATAGTTCTTGTGCTCACTGTATAGCTCTGTTCCAAAATAAAGGTGTTTTTTTTTAGTACTTAATGGTCATTCTTTCTAATCTGGTCTGATATTTCTCTTATCTTGATTTCTTTTATCCTGAATTTTTCTGACTTTGCCACAATTCTTTCTTATTTTCCCTTTCTCTGAAACGAGAAAGAAAGAATAGGTCAGCCTCTTTGATTATACCTGTCCTTTTTCTCCATTACCTGATTTTTTTGCTTTGAATGACCTATGTCCTTCTCCCTCTCTGTCCCTGTGCCTGCATTTGCATTAAATCCAGGTGACCTTCCCTGCCCACCTCCTCCTCTAATACTCTTCTGCTCCTCCTCTGCTCCTCCTCTGCTTCCTCTTTCCACCTCTTCTGTTCCCCTCCGTAAGAACATCTCTTGTACATAGTGCATTAAATAGTTTACCTCCCCAAGGGGCTTGTGAGGATTAATTAGTTGATGTCTATAAATGACTGGAATGTAAAATACTCCCAAGTAGTTCTTTATGATGGTATTATTTGCTTTTAAAATTCAATGGCTTCTTCTGTCCTCCAAGCTGTTTTTTGTGTCATTATCCCCATTCCACCTGTGTGCTAATTGAGTGTTTCTCTTTATCTCCTCATGAAATGTTTTGTGAGACTCTATTTGAAAGATGTTTCATAAAAGTAAATTTTATTTTAAGAAATACAATTTGTTCTTTTGTTGCAGAAAGAAAGGATTTGATATTAAATGGGTGGATGATACACATGCCCTAGGAGTATTCTCCAGTCCGATTACAGGTATTCACCCAGTGGATTTCTGTGTTCTTTTTAATATTGTGCATTTTCTGCTGCTACTTGTTCTTATTTCCCTTCTATTCCAACGTTGGCTGGCATTTTATTCAGCCAGTATCGGTAATTGACAGATACAGGTTTTTGAGGCCTAGTACTTTGGTACCCAGGTGCTCGCCTTCTCCCTTTTCACCTTCATGCACTGGTATCTGGAGGGAGAGTCAGCTCCTTCCAAGGCTGTTTGCTGCATAACTGTCAGTTATAATAGAGCATAAACAGATTGTAGGTAGAGATTGAAGAAGCCAACGTGGCTAAATCTTACAATATTTGTGATTTTTTTCCCCTCAGACAAATGAATTTTAAGTAGCCCTTTAACCTTTCTGGTGAGAGGTAGTAATACCTACTTTCAGAATGTATGATAACGGCCTTTTCAGATGTATCCTTGGCCTCATGATACATCTGATGCAGAGGCATTCAAAGAAATCAGAGATCTTGGTTTCTGTTTGAACAACCTAAAATTCGGGTCTGCAGACTTATTCTGTACAGGTCTAGACAGTAAATATTTTAGGGCATAAGATCTCTGTCACTACTTAACTCTGCTGCTGTAACAAGAAAACATCCGTAGACAATATGCAAAGGAATGGACATGGCTCTATTTCAGTAAAACTTTACAGAAACAGATAGTTAGCTGGATATGGTCACAGAGCCATAGTTTGCTGATCTCTGATCTAACATAATCGCTGCCAAGTTGTTCCTTTTGGATTTTCTAGAGTTTACCAATTTCTTTTGCTTGCCATGAAAAAAAAAGCATAACATCTAGGAAAAACTTTCTAAGAACTAGCCTTAAATTTTCCTTTGCGTCAGTCTTCTTCGTGTCTCTTCCTTCCTTACATTTGTTCCTCTTTGCAGCTCGTGATGCTCTCGGAAGTAAACATGCCATGGTGAAGACCCGACCCTTGTCACAGGCCACGAGAGCAGCCAAGGCCAAAGCTAGAGCTTATGCCGGTAAGCCTGTCATCTCGGGGCTTTATCATGTTGATAGTGGTGTTATTGTTTTTTCCAGCACTTGTGCAGCATCCAGAGTTCTAAAAACATATCACTTTTATTTTTAGTATTAAAGTAAGTATATTCTTACAGGAAAAAAGAAAAGGCTATGTTGGAAATAATGGCATCTGAGCAGCCACTTGGAGAGAGTGGGAGATACTAGGCAAGCAATGCAGGAACTTTGCCTGATGATATCCTTATCTAGTTTACCTCTGTTTAGCTGTTTGATAGAGTCACAGTAAGAAATTGTGTTAATACAGATAATGAAGCCAGCTCTGTTTGTGCTTTGCCATGTTAATTTCCTCTGATCGTCATCTATCAGGCTTATATTAATTACTGCTGATGCAGCCCTTGTTAGTCTATTTTGTATGTTAATTACTGAGTTAAATCACTTGGAGCTAGAGTGCTTTCTCTTCCTTACTCCCTCCTCCTCCCTCCCTCCTCCTCCCTCCCTTTCTCCCTTTCAGAGTTCCTCCAGCCAGCAAAGGAGCGTCCTGAGACTTCAGCAGCCTTAGCCAGAAGGTTAGTTATCAGTGCCCTTGGGGTTCGAAGTAAGCAGAGCAAAACTGAACGGGAAGCAGAGCTCAAGAAATTGCAAGAAGCCCGAGGTGAGTTGAAGTGATGGCTTTCTTCTTTAGTCCCTTTAGAGCTCACTTTATAAGGCATGTATAAAAAAAGAAAAATGACTAAAGCCCATTCCGTTTTGTCATTTCCGTTTCCTAGAAGCTTCCCAAGTACATTGACATTGTTTTTAAGCCTTATATTTAGGAAGAAGACACTTCAGGATTTGTCTGCATGTTCCACATGCCGAGGCACCCTGATCCATGCTCCTACTATTGTTTTCCAAGAAATAGTTTCCGGTTCTTAGCTCACCCATGGGTTTTTCTATAATTCTTGCTCCAAACTCTGAGAAAAATTTTGCTGTGAAGAAGTAATAGTTTTCCAGGCAGAAACCGTTATTTGCTGTGGTTTTACTGGGCCATGATTGCCATGATACTATAAAATGGTTTAGATCTTGGGTAGAAGACAAATTAAGGAAAAGCCAGCAATTGACATTTGATAATGATAACTGTAGGGGGTGTTTTTTTTCTTCAAAGACAGTCCTGAGTGGCTTCATTAGAGCACATCTAGATTAACCTAACTTCTGATTATTTTCCAGTACCTAAGAGTTCTCGGAAAGGATTTCAAATGATCCACAAGCAGAGATTTCTTTCCCTCTCGTTTGGAGTTGAGGTTAAAATCTCTCTCCTCTTTTATAGGCTGTTGACTTGTATGTAAAGGCTTGGGACTCTGGCTTTGCACTTAAGTACTTTTTATCAACCTGCAGGCTTTAGACAGTCTCATTGCCTTAGCCCACGATCTGTGGAATCTGTGAAGGCAATTTATTCTGAAAATTCCACTTACCGAAAAGGAACTTCATTTTTCCATTAAACGAATTGAAGTTTCAAACTCCTTGTTTATTGCCGGTCTAACAAGGCCATTAATACTTCCTGTCCACTCTGCTTTGGTGATAGCAGGCAGCTTGCAGGCTCTCAGCTGCACTGGCCAGATAACCAGTGACAGAGTGTGTCATGGCAGGTGCTAGAGTTTCAGGGTTGAACCCAACTAATTTTTGAAACCTTAATGATTATAATGAGGCAGTTTTGATTTTTCCAGTGTGTTGTTCACTTAAAGGCCTCCTGCAGACTATAGAAACGGGAAGACTCCTCTGGTTTTTATAGATGGCAATAACAGAACTAGATTAAAGGAGAATGTGCAGTGTCCTTAACTCTTTATTAATTGGTTATCTCTGTGGAAAATGATTTCTCTGTGATAAGCACAGTTATCTCAGAAGATCAGTAGAGGTAATAACAGCAGTATCTATGAAAGGAGATATGACTCTTTGCAGTGCATCAAGCTTGCCTGGGAGCGTGATATCACCTGTCTGTACAGGTGCTGCAGCAGTGCTTTTGTGTGGGTAGCACCTGAGGATTCCCCTCCGTTTCTCTCTAGGCACATCAGCATGATCTCCACTTGCAGTATTTGTTTTAAATGCCCAGCTACACAGAGGACTTTCAGTGATGCAATTACAAATGAGACTGTTGGCTAAGTGGGTACCCTGCTGCTGCCTTTTTAAGGAAGGGCTTTTGTTTAAGTGGATCGAGACCCACTGTGATAAGTTCCTCCTGTCCATTGGTGCTGCGGCGGTGTGGATTATAGAGGACTGTTCCCTTATTATATTTCAGGACTCTCCCATTCTTAATATCTGAGAAAATGCATATGGAACATTCCTGATATATCTCTTTCTGGCTTCTTCATGTGTTGAGCAAATACTGTTACATCTGTCTGCATGGAGCCCAAGACTTTTCACTTAAAGATCTTTTTCTGTGGAAATTACTGTTTAGGTATTAAACAGAACAGATATTTTTGTTGCAGATCTTCTTTCACTGGACGGGGAGGGGTCAGGACAGCATAGTACATAGTATTGTGGACTCTGGACTCAAACTGCCTGGTTCGACATCTAAGCTCTGCCATTTTGTGGCTCTGTGACCTTGGATAAATTACTTACTGTCTGGAGGCCTCTGTTTCCTCATCCATAAAATGGAAATCAAGTGACATAATCCACGAAAGATACTTGGTCATCTTCAAAAACCATATGAACGCTCTGTCTCTTGTTTCTATAGACCTATAATAATTATGTGATAAATGTTAGCTGCTGCTGTTTTTATTAGTAGTAGAACATTATCACTATATGGTGAGTCCAACTCAGATTCCAATGCATATTTTTTGTCATTACTCTTTGTTGTAAATTTTCTGTAATACTCTGTCAACTACCTTTGGCATTCACTGAGCACCTTCCCTGTGCGATGCATTGTGCTCTCTATTTAGGAGAATTAGAGAGATGGCAAGATGTTGTTCCTCTCCTTAAGACTTAACAATCTGGTGGGGTTTTCTGCTTTGAGTAAGGCAGAAAATATGAACCTGGTATTTTAAGCAATTTTTTCTTCTCTCACTTTAGTTCTGAAGATTTTAATATTAAAAGCCATGAAAAGCTTTTTGTGATTAAGAAGATTGGAAGGAAACTCCAGGCAATGCAGCATGTTATAACTCTGATGCATGGTTATTATCTCCAGTTTCTAGTTGGCCCAGAGAAGTTAAGTAACTGGCCTACGGTCACCCAGCTGGTAAATTGAGAGGAGGCATTTGAACGTAGGCCTCTCTAATTAGAACCCATGCTCCTTCTACAATACTCCAATCTCTCTTGAAGGACTTTTTTCCCAGGGAAAAAAAGATAAAAATTTTTTTAAGGTCTTCAGAAAATGAAATATGACAGGCTTCTTTTTAGTTATCTGTTCCCATGGTCAGCAGTATTCACTGTCAGAACATTCTTCTTTAGGTCTAACTTAAATTTGTGTAATAGTTTAAACCAGTTTCCTCTTCTTTTTTCCTTAGTAGAAGGAGGGAACATCTGGATACCATTCTGTTCTAAGAGCCTGTAACTGTAAAGATCAAGGGTAGATCATTCAGGAATGAGGGGATCTGGGCTATAATAGAGTTTTTGCTATTAACTGGCTGTGTGGCCGTGGGCAAGTCTCTGAAACCTCTCTGTGCCCCAGTTGCCAACAAAGGAAAAATAATGCTTGACTTACCTAATCATTGAGCACTTTTTGAGCACAACATAAGTTAACATGTGTAAAATTGTTTAGAAAGGTGCTTTACAAAATCAGAATGCTATTATTTATGTGACTCTTGGGAAATTAGGATTTATTATAATAATATGAGCCACTAATGACAAATATGTACTATGTACTTGCTGCTCCCTGTCCATTATCCATGACAGACAGTGCTAATCAGTCATGACCTACCTTCCTTGGTGAGTTTTGACTTGACTGTTGCCAATTGATCAAAATTAGCATGGGAATTGAAATCTATGTGCCATCCTGATATAGGTAGTTTTATTAATAATACTATAGAATAATCTATCTTTCTTTTTCCGACTGTAAGAGCTCTGCTGTCTGGCACAGTGACTGGTTCATAAAAAGGTACTCAGTATTCATGTTCATTGACTGAATATATGAATGACATTGGTTACTTTAATTTTTCTTCATAAATCTTATTTCCTTCATGATTCTACTTTGAACCCTTTCTGATCCTCCCTGTTTTTCTTTATAAAACCCGGAGGTGACCACTGCATATGTAACCCTTCTAATTAATGAATTTGGGATTTAAACACTTTCCTGCTAAGTTCTTCCACCCTACTTTGGTCTTTCTTACCCTTTTAGTGAGAAGTCGGTGTCGTAGTCCTTAAAAAGAAGATTCAGAAAGTAAAGCTACTCTGGGAAGAATTGAAAAAGGAAGTACCCAAATCATTTTAAGCAAATCATGTTGTATTTATCTGGGGGATAACAGCTTTAGTTCATAAGTCTTTGAAGATGGAGAAAGTATCTTTTAGTGCAGCAGAGTGCATAACATCTCAGAGGTAGCTAAGAGTGGGAAATTAAAGCAGAGATTATCCTTGAGTGCTTTCTATTTGACTTAATCACATGTTTTAACCTAGTGATTCATACTAAATGACAAAACCACACTTTAAAGACCTAACTTGAGAATACGTGTAAAATTTCCCTCTTGTTCCACTTATCGAAACAGTTGGTTCCCACCTGATATTGGAGATAAATGTCAGGACTTCTCAGAAGAAGCTAGTCTCTCATTTTCAAAGCCTGCTATAATTTTATTTCATAACTTATTTCGATTTTATTCTTGGGGTAGGTGATTAATTGGCTAGTTCTAAAAGGTCATCTTTTGGGTCACAGGCCTGAAAGGCAGAGTGAGTAAACAATAATTTGATCTCCTACTTTGATTAATTAAATCACTAAGAACTTGAAAGTAAAATCATCTCTATAGGATACTTAGTTAACTATAATAAAAATTTAATCACAATTGCTACCTTCTGAAATTCTTTTGAGGCATTCCATTATTCTGCCTTCAAGGACAGTGCTGCATTGCTGACTCATAATCTAGGTCGTGTGGTATTTTCTTGGTGTCTTTTTTCCCCCGATGTGCAGTTCCCTTCATATCTAAGCATGTTTCCTTTCAGATTAATGTGATATTTTTCTCTCACATGCAGTATTTACCCATATTTTTGGTGTCACCTGCTGTTTAATAAACTTATGTCCTTGGCCTGGATCAGAGATGAAAATGTTGGCCCTAGGGCTAACTGACCAGTTCGCCAACTATTGCTAAATAAATAGCACGTAGTTCTTTGTGTTGACACGAATACCTTGAGAATCATTCCACCCTCAGTTATATGCCTCCTTAACACTTCTGTGATCCAGATTATATTTTTCCAGTATATTAATGATGACATAAATACTCGATAAGCCTAAATTCTAAAACTTTTCTAAAATTAAGAGGTTACTTATATTAATTCTCTTTGATCTACCAGATGTGTCAACCCATAAAAGAAGGCAGTTAGATTAGTTTGACCAGACTTGTACTTTAAGTCTTCATGTTGCTTATTACTCTGCAGGTGGCTGCCAGTGGATTTTGTGATGATTTTTCTCATTATTTTCTAGATGTAGAAGTAAATTTTGAAAGTTTTAATTTACATCTCTTTTCTTTAATTTTTTTA